AAAAATAGAAAAAGAAAAAAAAAAAAGAAAAACGTTGAAGGAAGATGCGGTGGTGCAATCCACGCGCGCACACACACACAGACACGCACACACTCTCCCCCTCGCGCTCTCTCTCTCTCTCTCTCTCTCTCCCCCTCTCGCTCTCTCTAGCTTGCTCGTGCCTTCCCGCCAGCAGCCCCGCGCGCTGTGAGAAGTGGATTCGGTGGGCGCGAGGGGATGGAGCGACCCCTCCCCTCCCCTCCTCTCTCTCTCTCTCGCTTTCCCACTCGCTCTCTCTCTCTCTTTTTTCCTCCTCCCGCCCGCCTCGCTGCAGCATCACCAGGGCCACCACTCATAATACAGACCAGGGAATGGTGCAACGCACACCATATAGGGGAGGATCTCTCTCTCTCTCTCTCTCTCTTGTCTCCCCCCTCCTCCTCCTCCTGCCTCATGCAAGGAGAGAGAGAGAGAGTTTATGCAAATAACTTAACAACCCCTTTAATGAATGTATACAGTAGGAGCTGTGAAGCAACAACACCACAGCCAATAAATTATATATAAATTGCAGCATGGTTGTATATAAGTGGCGTTGCAGGATGTTGCATTCTTTCATTTTTTTTGGGGGGGGTAACATGTCAGCAGCAGGGAAGCTCGTGCCACATCACAAGGTAAAGTGTCAGCTGTGCCTTTTTTTTTTTTTAAGTTCACCATCTATGGATGAGCAAATCAGCATCAGTTGTCAGGCTGCTGCTGCTGCTGCTGCTGCTGCTGCTTGCTGCTCGGTGCACGGAGGCCCAGCTGAGAGGAACAGCGCCCCCTGCTGCGCACCTGGGACACAGGTGACGTCATGGATTAAAACAGCAAACCCCCCCAGCACACGTACACCATCACTAACCCCAACACCCCAAAATGCTCCATTTAGATAGATAGATAGATAGATAGATAGATAGATAGATAGATAGATAGATGGACAAACCTCTACCTTAAGAGCAAATACCCAGTGATTATGGGTACTATCTTTATTGCCCTCACATGATTCAATAACAACTAATAGTCCAAAGCTCATTCCTTTCAAAGTGCAGGATCATATAAAGCTCAAGTGTGAACCTTCCAGCAGATAAAACAGCAATAATGACTTGAGAAGTCACAGAAATGAAAACCTGCAGCAATTAGCGGTCGTGTTTATGATTCTGGCAGCGTAAACCCACCGAGGGGTCAATGTTTGTTTCATCCCGGATCACAGGAAATAACATCCGTGGGTCAATTTGCCAAACGGTTTGGATTGCAGCGGCCAAATTCTTCATACATGCCCTCAGCCTCGAATGCAGGATGATTGTAAGCTACGCTTGGGCAAAAATACAAGCAAGCTATTAGAGTACAATAAATGGTATTATTATAGCACAAGGTATAAACAGAGAAGTCATGAAATCAACTCATTCTACATATCAACAGTCATCATGCACGCTCTGTCATGTCTCTAAATGAAAAAAACAGCCTTAATAATTGTAATAATAGTCTTTATTTATAGCACCCTTTTCAAAATCCAAGTTGCAAAGCATTACATAGGAACAGCAAAATGACAAGTAGCCATAAAAGTATTAGGAATTTACAGAAGATAGATTAAAACACTGGTTAAAAATATACATACACACTGGTACTGTGCAGTAATCTAAAGTACTGAACCTAAACAACAGCAGTTCCAAATCCTGAATCTCTAACCCTGAACCTCTACTGTATATTGCACACTTGTTAATATTTTTAATTAAAGCAACATTGCCCTCTGCTCCATCACACCAACATCCACCTACCTCATGTAAATGAAGTGCCAACATTCCTGCATGCATTGTTAATAATTTAATTTATTCCTGGATCATCAGAATCTGCATAATTAGCACGAAACTTTGGGCTCACTTTGATGCTCTTCTACACACGTCTGCAGCCGTGGATAGCAGTTAGACACTTTTTGTTGTTTACTCCACTGCCCTTGTTTGAATGCATGTGTGACTTTTTGTGAAAATACTTTAGGAACAAAACAAACAAACAAAAAGCTGTACTTACTTGGCCAATAGAGCTGATGAATTGCTGGGGGTGCAGCAAAATCCTAATTTAAAACATTTAAACATCATTGCAGGTGTTTTAGCATTAAAAAATGAAATGATCACATTTAGATTTATTATTGACTCATGTTTATAGAAAAATACAGTATGGCCAAATCAGATACCTCTGGGTTTATAATGAAAGCACAACCTATATATATATAAATGTGAATAAAGACAGATATTTTATTGACCAGAGGGAAAATCAGGCATCCCGTAGCTTACATGACACACTGTGCAAAATCAAGTGAAGACAGAAAAAAAAACTAAATATACAGACAAAACATACTAAATATGAAAAGCATGTGATAGAACTGTGTTGGTACATATACAAAAAAATAAAGTATAAAACAACAGAGAGGTGTAATTAGCATATGTGAGGACTGTAGCGCAAAAATAAACAATCATTTAGTAAATTGTTACATAAAATCAATTAGAAAGCATGTTGAATATTTCTGTATATTATTAGAATTTGTTATTTGAACACACTTTCTAATTGAAATCTAAATAAACAGTGACTGTAGTTTTTGTGCCGCTACCTTATATTTTTTTAATTGCACCATACAAATAGAAACATTAATGAATGGGGCTCTATGTTGGAAATATGCAATTCAAATATGATAGTTCATGCATATATATTTAAGAAAACGTTTGAATTATTAACATGATTAGTTCATTTTTGCACTACAGTATTATTCCTCTGCTCAGTCCTTGTATATGCTAATTAGACCCCACTGTTGTCTCACACTTTACTGTGTATATGTACCACCACAATCACACCACAATGGAGGAAGAGGAATATATTAATATGTAATTCAAATAAGTTTATTTATACACACACATATATATATATAAAGACATTGTCTAAGTGTCTTGGCAATGTGAAGTCCAATAACTACTAGTCAGAGTATAGTTTTTTTGTAGCCTGTGGTGAAACATTTCCAGCTCTTGTGCAGGAATCTGCAGTAATAAAAACCACCTGAAAAGAGGATCTGACACACTGAGCTGATGAGGAAACAGGCCGTTTGCAACCCAAAGTTAAACTGCTTCCATGTCTGTGACCTCCTCCTCCAGCAGCCGCGGAACAAAGTCACCGGTGGGCGGGACCACGGCGCTCAGTTTTCAGCCCTCTCCCAATGTCACTGCGATGATCTCGGCCTCCCATTGGCTCCTGTCTGCGCACACGTCACAATCATGATTAGAATTGATGATCGGACGTTCTGATTTCATTGTCTAGCAAAGGGGGACTGCTGAAGAAATCTGCTGAATTTGAGCGTTCGTGTGATTTTGACATCAAACATGGTACGTAGGGAGGTGATTTCACTTTTCGCTTCGGCTTCTCCCGGGGCGTTTTGGCTGCCGGCGTCCGCTCGAAGCCCGGGTCAGCGCGAATGGTCCCGCCGGGGTCGGGAAATCACGGATTTGAAGGAAAAGTTTAGCCGCGGCTATCCACTGGGAGAGCTATGCTAATGCTATAGCTAACGCTGGCTGGCTCGGATATGGCCGCTCGGGCCTGCAGGCTAACGCGGGGCTGCTCTCTGCACGGCCCCGTTGTGTCGGTTCTCCTCCCCGGTGTTGTTTACCGTCAGTCGTGAAGTTGTGGCATGTGCTTCCCGTTAACCGTGTTCGTGGGTCGGCTTGGCTGTCGTACTAACCTGACGTGCCCACGGTGGTGTTTTTTTTTTTTTTTTGCTCGCTAATTCTCCGCCGTAATGTTTCCATATTGACTGTAGCCATGCGCAGTCAGCCTGCCAAAATAAACCTGCTGGTTGCTTATTGGTCGCACAACATTCCCGTATGTGACTTTGTGTTTATTAAAAAAAAAAAGAAAAAACCTCCAGCAAACTACACCTCCAACTCACCCACCGCTGTTTGTCCAGCTCTCTGCAGCTCCAGGTGTTTTCACTTTAACCGTCCTGCCCGCCGCTGCTCCTTGTTTTTTTTTTTTTCCCTCCTTCCTTTGTACACAACAGAGGTTTGCTGCGAAACTTTAACGTATTTATCACGCAGGACGCCATTCATTAAGCTTAAGAATACACATGCTAGCTTCGTTTACAATATACATTAGCTGTTAATTAGCATCCCCTTGGATAAATTCAAAGTAGCTCACATGTGACATTCAAGATAGGTAAGGAAGTCATGTACAACATAATATACAATTAATGTGCTAATTGTGCTACTGGAGGCAATAAGGTGCCCAAAATGCTGGTGTTTATGTTTTTTAAAAGGTGCAAAAAATGCTGGTATTTACAAATTAATGGTGTGATTGAGGGTTTTAAAAGTAAAAATAGGACTAATAATCAGCATATAGGAGCAGGATTATTGGTTTTATTGCACAGCTGAGGTCACTGGATTGTGGCAGCTAACACTGTCAGGCTTTGTTTTTGCTATAAAGTCATAACATGTAAATTAGAATGTGAAATTTGAGCTTGTGGGTTAATGTTTTCCTACAGATGGCATGTTAGCTTGTCTAATGGTGTCATTCATGTTGCTTTGTAGTTGCTCCTACTTTGGCAGCAGTTTGTATACTTTTGCATTTACTTGCATCAGGATCAGCTTTATCTGCCAAGTGTGTGCACACATGCAAGGAATTTGATTTTGCTTATTTCTTTGTCCTCCGAGTGCTTCCACAAGT